AACAGCTTCAAAACTTTTCTCTCTTGATTCTTCTGCACCCCATACCTTTCTGGCAGCATCAGCAAAGGAGAGTACTATTAACGTAGGACTTGGGCTTTTCATTGCCCCATAATTGATCTGACTTCCAATTTGTCTTTTTACTTTTCTACAGATGCAAATAAAAAGTAGAAAGCTTACATGTGTGAAACTGAGCTTCTAGTAGATCTGTTTTACTATGAAAAGTGATGTGACACAGCATTTCAACACACTCTTCAACCAGAACGTTTGCTTTTGCATGAACTGGGTGAGCAGCTGAATGGTGTATATGGGCAGCTAATAGAATAACTATGATGCTTCAGATTCAGTAAAACCAGAGACGAACTTGTATGCTATGCCATTTCCTCCTTATAAGATTGAGAAGTTAGACCTAGTTCCAGTTCTATCGTGACATTGTTGGGTATTCTCGTCAAGTACTTCACTTGTCAAGCATTTTTTTTCTTCAGCTTCCTCATTTACAGGACTTGGATAATATTTATCCTTTTCATAAAATTGCTGGGCTCAATCATCTAATATTTCTCAGTCACTTCTGTGAAAAGATTTGCTATGTTTCTTTGTCAGTTGAACACATTATGCAGTGTCTTGAAGATGGCAAATCGCTAAGGCATAAATAAAATGGTAACTGCAAGAGACCCCATCCTGATGCAAAAATCCCTATTAAAATCAAGTAAACATATGCCTGTTTAAAGATCAAAGGAGCAATACAGTAAAAGTAGCAAAACAGCTAAACACAAGAGCTGCTCTGAAAGTAATGCCTCCTTTTCATTATTTTGGCCCACAACATCAAAGGTGGATGTTAGTGGTATGGCATGCAGGCTCTTGTCCATTGCTGGGGAAAATGCATAGCTAATGATGGTGACTATGTGGAAAAATAGTGTTTCATAGTGAAAAATTGGCTCTATCAAATTAGCATTATTGTGTTCTTTGTGTCTGTGTAACTTCCACGGAAATAAATGGGAGACATCAATTCTGGAGCAACCTACAGATTAAATAAAGGGTTGCTTCTCTCATTTGCTTCTGGGAACATGGTCAAAAAATACCATTGAAAGGTAGGTCATGAAGGCTTTGCAGAAGGCTATAGTAATTCATTATAACAAAGGATCTCCACCTACAAACATGAATATTACTCATTTCACTAATGTGATGAGTCTCTCTGGAATTTATGGTGCTTTTACCAGGGCCTTAAGCTATAATTTTTGTCATGACTGGTTTGTATGATTGAGCCTGCGACCACAGAATAGTTCCTAAAGCTATCGATGGCCATTGTGGTCTCTCCTTGCTTCATTAGAACTTCTCCAAAGAAGTTACGGTACTCAGTGATTTTTTTTTTCTTTGTATTTTACTATCATACACATACTTATGTTTATATGTTAGAGAAAGTCAGAGACATCAGGAATTCCCGCTACTATATATGTACAAACATTGTAAAAAATACACATCCTCACTTTTTAACTAATTTATCCTTAACTGCTGTGGGAAAAAAAATCCCTTTTATTAAAAAAAAAAAAAAAAAAAAAAAAAAGTTCAACCATAAATGGAAAGGCTATGCTCACATGCCTAGATTTCTGTTAAATGTAGTTAAGATGAGAAATATATTTAGTACACACATTATTTTTGCATATTTTGTATTTATATACCTGTCTGTTTATAAATACGTCGAAATAATAGAAAGCTAGTTGCCTGCAACAGGAGTGAAATAGCAAAGAAAGTCAAACCTAGCTCTAGTTAAGAAAGAAAACACCTTCATTTTGACAGACTTTAAAAAACAGTTATTGTTAATAATTTGCTACCCTTATCAAATGGAAGTGCATAAATTACTGCCCTACTGAAGGCCATGGAAAGGCTCCCACTGTCTTCAAAGGGATCTGGATATCACCCGGTGTATTTTCTCAAAGAGAGCTGCCAGTAACATCTGCCAGCTGGAGATCCAGTTAGATGTGGGTTAAGACAAAAGAAATGCATGTCAGCATTTCATTGTATGACAAAGGATAGAGGCTTTGAAAGTCTGCTGTGGTAGATTATCACAGAAAAAGTACTTTTCCCTTCAAATGGGAAGCATCTTCCCATTTGATCTTCCTGGTTTTGTCTATCTTTGTAAGTGTATTCATAGAAGGCACAACCGTGAATTGACTGAACCTCATCAGAGCTACCACATTTCAGACTATTCAGTCTCGTTTCAAGCACAATCTCCATCTGCCAACAATCTTTCCTTTGTTGTGCTCTTCCTTTTCCAGGGCAGCATCCTGTACCCTGCCTCTTACTATCTAGATTCTCAGTGAGTAAGGGTGTTTGCTCTCCCTCATTTTTCCAAGACCACTGGGCGTCCTTAAAGATAATGCTCATTTCCTATCTCCTAGCTGCATTATACCTACTATTCTACCCATCTCCGTTGTTGTTCGTTAAGTAAGCAACATATAAACTTCAGTTGGACAGTGCTGGAACTGCAGCAGATGCGCTCTTGAAAGGGCAATCAGCGATACCCATACTGGGGATTTGGATTTTTCAAGATTATTCCTGTGTGCTCACGGACAATGCTCATGGTGGCTTTCGTATATTTTCCGTTCATTCTCTTTTAAATTCTACACATGGGTAGGAATAGCTTTAAAATATTATTTTTTTTTCTGATTAAGAGGCTACATATGGGTAGGAAAAATTGGAGAGTGTAAAGTCTCTATTCCTATGGGCCATGAATTAAAAATGAAAACCACAGGTGGTTTGGGTTTTCTCCTTCTAAATCAAAACACGATGATTGAGGCTTAGCCAAAACCGAAGTATGGCTGCCCATTGCCATTTTTCAATAAAAGTCTCCCAGATTTGTTATACATTCCAGTGAAAAATCTGTTTTGTTACTGTGCTTGTGTCTTGCCCAGAAAGGAATTCCTCATTTAAATGTTTGTATACTTCTTTCTGCATAGCATTACTAGCATTTTGCAAGCACAGTACTTTTTATTTAAATAGGGTGTATCTATCAGATTGCTCTCTGTATTACATTCTGATATTTCTTTAAGAAAGAGATCCTTGTTTTGGCTTTTAATAAGTGTTATATTATGATAGCCTAAGAACCCTGAAGTCATGCAGCTAAAGCATTACAAAGATAAGAATTCGTTCTTTTATCTTCTCTTTGTAATATCAAAAGATGTTTTGCTTAGTTTATTGTGTCAAACATTTAATAAGATTAATCATTTTCTGACCTTGGAAATTCAAACACTTCAGTACATTGGAAAAATGATCAGGCTTATAAAATGTGGAAAAGATCCACATTGTTTGTGGTGTCCAAGAAGATATAGATCTGTGCAGCAACAAATACCCAAGCTATTTCTCATCATTATGAACAGTAAACTGTAGGCTTTAGAGGGTCAGAAAAAGGTGAGTGTTTACTTATTAAATCCTGCTCCACTGTAAAAAAAAAAAAAAAAAAAAAAAAAAAAAAAAAAAAGTAATCAAGAATTAACTAAGTAATAATCCTGCCTAAGCTAATAAAAAGAAAGAAAGAAAAAAAAACGCTACAGACATTGGAAAAAAGGCATTGTATATATTCCCCTTCTTATTTTTTTTTCTTATTTATTTTAATAGCTCTGAAGGTTTATTTATTTCAAAAGGCCTAGAAACAGAATTACAGTTTTCTGAAGTTTCTCTGTAAAGACTGTAGAAAAATCTGTCAAGTATCTAATAACTGTCCAAGAACGTCAGTGGCAACGAAATAATAAATGAATGAAGAGCCTGAAAGATAGAACTGGCAGTATTTACAAACTGACTGCCTCATTTGGGTTTCTGCAGTAATATTTGGACACAAAAATAGAAGTGTCCTATTTCAGAGAAGTGCCAAACATTGCTCAGTGCAACACAAATGAGATGCGAGAGTGCTCAGACAACTTATCCATCAGCCATGAATTAGGGTCTGTAATCTTAGATGCATGGACATGGTGAGTTTTTTCTTTATTTATTTATTTAGTTTTCAATCAAATTCCTTAGCTAAAGAAAGCAGGTATTAAATGCAAATTTAACCGGGAGAAGTAAAAAATTTTTTGTTTCTCTGAATCCTTTTCAAAGTCAGAGGCTCTCTTGAAACTTGAATTACTGATTTTGTGATCCTGTGTGATCACACTAAGTCTTTATTTCAGAAATCATAATCAGTGTTACACTTTGATACTGATTAAGTAACCAGCCTGTGTTTGCAAAACCTCAGATAGATCACCAAAAATACGAAAGAACTTGTATATGCCCCTTTTTAAAGGTTTCACCCGCATTCTGTATCCCTTAGGATCAGAGCTACTTTGCAAGCAGCTGCCAAGATCTATTCACACAACTTTGTCTGAAATTAATTTCTTGCTACAGGGTCAGCTCAAAAACACACACAGAGTATTGGTTTTGTTCCACTGCCTGACAGCAAATCTAACTTTTTACAGACTTTTAAAACCTCTTTGAAAATTTATCTCTCTGATTTTAGTATGGAGTTTAAGAGCCGATTTTTGCACACAGGCACTGTTTTTGACCTTACTTCTTGCAGGGAGAACTGCACATATAGCATGATGGAAAGTTTCTAGCTGGTGAAATGGGAGAAAATATTTTGACAAAGCACAACTAAAAAATCTGTTGCCATGTCAGTGTCATACAGCTCACTTCGATTGCAAGTGACCACTATACTCAGTCTCCGTATTCTGAATAAATGAAAGTAATTAAAGCCAACAGTTAGTAGAGGGACAAGGAATATCAAAGGGCTTGCAAGAAACCATATTTAGGTTGGACACTGCTAAGATTTGAGGGGGCATGAGCGTCCATCATTGTTAATTGTTATATCTTCTTAACACACTGCATAAAAGATGGCAGTCTTTTGCAAGCATTTCGCTTGTACTGTGATCTCTGACCTCACTGTCACTGAAGAAGGTGCGTGATTTGCAGATAAAGAATTCACCTGTGGTTGGAGCAATAACAAAACACTTTTTTTTTTTCCATTTTATTTTCAGGGTTTAAAAATCAATAAATATACCAAGCTTGAGCCATCAAGTCTCCTCTGCTTTTTAAAAATTAAAGGAACTTTCAGCCAGGAAAAGGTAGGTTTAGAAAACTGACTTTCTTTTCTAATAAATAATTTAAAATCAGCCAAAATACCCTGATGTTTTTCAGATTTTATTTCAAACCGCAGTAATTTGGAAGACAGTGTGCCCAACAATGTATTAGCAGATTTGGGTGGATTAATGATAACCTCTCTTGCTAGAGAAATAAATAATATTTTCTAAACACTGGGTGAAGTTCTTTTTATTTGTCTCCGGTAACTGAATTTTTAGGTGTTAATACTGATACCAACTCTTCCTCTGTAATACGAGGACAAATTGCTCCTATTTTTAAAAAGCTGAAGTTGGAATTTCAGGAGTAGAAACTTCAGAAAACAGCAAATTGAGAGACCTCAATGAAATCCTGGGAGTTGGCAACACCATAGACTTTGATTTAAAAAAGCCTTCTATTTATGAATGTAATGAAATTTTCAAGACGGATGTAGCTGAAACTTCTGTATCTTTTTGTCTGGTGTCTGGTAAAAAATAAGAAAATATTTTTATATATAGGATTTGATTGGTTGTGTTGATAGATTATGTTGTTGCAGGTTTATACAAGTATATGTAGATAGTATAATCTTGTGTTTTAACTATACTGTATATCTACTAACATATGTATTTTTATGTAGTGAGTAATACTGCAGCATATGTTCATGTTTTAATACTTTGGAGACAGTTCAACTGAAAAGGAAATGGGATTTTATATCTCCTGGTTGTTTACTTTGACCTTTATATGTACTTCTGCAAATCTGGGGGGATAAAATTAAAGTTAGATGGGCAGTAGCAGTTGTCTGAGTCACGAGCACCGCCTGAGAGTTAAGAGCAGCCTGTGTCTTGTTTCCATATCTTAGAGTGATTAAGTTTTAGTTTCTTGCATAATATTTTTAAAGCCAATTATCATTTGCAGAATGTTTTAAGGTTGGCTGGACATGGTTAACCTGGTGTGCACGCATCCCTGTATTCTCCTTGGCTGCAGAGCAGGCTGCTGGAACTGCTCCTGGGGCAGGACCCCACACAGCCTTTTCAGAGCCACAAGGACTACATACAACATCCCACTGCTGCTGAAGTCAGCCACATCCTTATGAAATAGACTTCATATTCGATGCATTACTTATATGGAAATGCTGACCAGGAAGACTGCATTTTTATTAGTCACTCAAATAATTTACATTTAGTTGCCTGACATAAAGCCCAATAAGAGAGAACTATGCAGTGCTTAGCTACCTGCTGAAACAAACCAGAACAATATTCTGAGCGCAACACCTATATATACTTTGATGTTGTAATGCTATAACGTGAAGGAAAGCACAGTTATAGTAGTGGGGTAGCACAATCCCAGGTGCAGCAACTGAAAACAAACCCAAATGTAGCACCAAAACGACAAAGAAAAAAAATCTGCTTACCTTTGGAAGAAATCCAGTAAATAAGTAGGGATCTCCAACAAGAAACACTTATAACTACTGCCAACCCTTAAATGAGGTCTAGGAAGGGGTGGACTCTGGCTTCACCCCTTCCTGTCTCTCAGGTAAATTGCATGCACCTGAATACCCCTGGGATGGCCCTACCTTCCCACCAGGTTTTCAATCACTGTTTTAGTTCAGGCTGTGAGTTAGCATTTCCATTACAAATGCACACATGAAATTTATGTAGAAATAGTATCCTGGTTACGTAGTGAAGACCTACAACTTTTTCCAGTTCAACTGTCATAAGTAGGAGCCAATACATTTTAAATTTTTTCAGCAATCCTGAACACATCAAATTATAGATGAAACCTTTTACACCTATTTCTGATCTGAACTCGTAGCTTCACAGCTGAAGAAATTTGCCATCCCTGGTTTATCAAGAGAACCAACATCATAAGTCAAATGAGATATTACTTTGGTTAGCCTCTTTTCCTGGGAATTTTTACAGCAGTGATTTAAAGATTTTCCTTGAGAACGAAAAAAGTTGGTTACTAAAAGGCAAGGTAAGGACTATGGTTAAAACCAAGGCAACCTATATCCCTTTTAAGAACACCTAAATCTTGCATCTCCATCAGTGGTGAGTTCCACTGTCAGGATGTCTTTGTTTTAGGATAGAGAAAGAAGATGCTTTCTATGATCAATCTCGCTGCTGCTAGCAACCTTCATATTCTTTTTTCCAACAACTCAAGCTTGTATTTTGAGAAGTAAAAGTTTCCAAGATGCTTGGGGCCAGGCAGGGGAGTCCACTAGCAATGTTGTTCTTCCTTGTTGTTTTTCTGGCAATCCATGATATGCCCATCATGTTCCCTTAACTTCATCCTAATTTTCTTTTCTTTTAGCCCTCCTTTTTTTTTTTTTTTGACTGAATGTAATTTACATATGCACATACTCATAATGATACAATGCAGAATGGTCATAGTTAAAATGAGATAAATTGAGGTGTATAATAGTGATAAAAATACAGGTATTCTTTTAACATACTGCAGTATTCAGTATGTGAGTTGATTGGCATTCAGTGTTACAGTCAGGCTGTACTGGTTTCCATTGGCAGAGCAAACATCTGCTATTGTTATCTAATTCAGACTTTGGACAATCATTCTTGCACATAAATCATTTTTTGATTAATTTTTTACTTTAGCTTTCATTTTTAATTAATGTCACCACATATTTTACAAGAAAGACAATCGCCTTCAGGAAAAGTCGAAACCTAGTGAAAAACTTAGTTATTGATCTTGTTAAACAAATTTATATAAATGTTCAAATCTAATCAGTGCGACTTTTATATTTCCTGTTCTGATCATTAATGACATTGCTAATACTCTCCAGACAGCAGAAGCAATAATTAAAATCACTTTCTTGATTTGATAGTATGAAGGGGATGTAATGGAAAATGTCTGAGATAGCAAAATGGAAAATGCATTAATCACAAGAAAACAGAATACTTACTGTTCCCTCACTGTGCAGATCACACTATTTAATCTTTTGCTACATGTTGGAAGGGAAGGAGGAGCTGGAATAGAAATTAATCAATTAATTGCTGCCCATGTTCCTATCTGACAGGAGTACTGCTATCTGATTTGGATTTATACAGCTGAGTCCCCTTGTATAATTAAGACTGACAGCACTTGGGGGGGGGGGCTTCTCTCTGTCTATGGAAATCCTTTTGTGATGCACATTTGGAGCTGCAGTTTAACATGTGCATCAGTATTCTTGCTTATGGCCAGTAATATTCTGTATTTCTATCACCTCATAGTAGGACTGAGTCTTCCTTAAGTTAGTGTACCTCTCTGGCTTCCTTTCACCCAGTTTTGTAAGACCTTCCTACTTAACACTGTTGTGATTGGTAGTGAAGAAATTATTGACAAGGAAAAATGTAACCAGGCCTACACTACCGATGTTTTACTCCATGTAATAGTAACAGGAGTGACTGACTGACATACCTGTGTCTGTAAAAGCCCTACCACAATTGTATTTGTCACAGAGAATCTGCATTTCAGCTGCAAGCGATTACCTTGTTCAGGGTGGGCAGGAAGATAAAGTTTTGCTACTACAAGAAATTTTGATCTTGTATCATGTGGTCATAAGCACCCAGACCTGGCCATGGGGGAGAAAAGAAACCAGATGAGAAGTTAACAAGTAGTTGTTGTGACAGACTGGAAAAAAAAAATAATGAAGTGAATAGCTAATTGAACTAATCCTTATTTCAGATTGTTTTTTTCTTTCTTCCCAAATATCATCTATGACTTAAAACTGCTCAACACTATATGCATCATTTTTTTTCTTTTGTTGAAAGAAACTACTTTATGATCTGAAAGCTGTGCAGTTTGTTCACTGCCAAAATATAGAAAACAACAAACTGAGATTAAAAAAGGCCAAAGCAGACTGATTTTCTTTTGATGTTATGCTCAAAATGGTGCTGCACGATGGGATGCTAGCCCTGAAAACAAATCCACTATTCAGAAAAATCAACAGGACTTTCAATGTTGGTTAATTCTTTCCTTCTTTGAAATAAAGGGGATTCCATTTATACATTTCAGTACTGAATATCATGAAACAATGGAATGTGTGTACTCCCTGTGCTACTGTGGGAACTACAATTTAAATAGTATAAGCAAAGAGAAGGCTCACTTGAGTAGAGACCATCTGTAAGAACTGTCATTTTGTTTGGAAGAGACCCCTAAGATCACCTGGTCTAACCAACAGCCTGTCCCCATCCTGCCCACTAACGCATGTCCCTCAGTGCCACATCTGCACATTTCTGGAGTATCTCCAGGGATGACTCCATCACCTCCCTGGGCAGCCCGCTCCAGCACCTCACCAAAAGAGGTACCAAGAGAGAACTTCTTAAGTACAAAACCCTTTGAAGAGGTTTGCCTTTGCAGAGTTCTGCTGCAGAGGAGCTTTCTCTGCAGGCCAGGCCCCTAGAACTGTGCCCTGCACAGATCTTGAGTCTTCACCTCTCCACGTCCAGCTCATTTCCTAATGCAGTCTGGACTGGTTTCTGTTTCCAGGGCAACCACAAATACCTTTGTCATTCCTTCATCTTTGTCATCTAGGTGCACAATTCTTCAAGGATCTGCGCAGGGGATGACTTGAGACCTAGTAAGACTCCAGACAGCAGCAATGAGGTGGAGCATCTCACTCCAAGGTTAAAAGGAGGCCCAGGAGTGGCAGAATTTCTACATAAAGCTCTCAAGCTTCAGTGGCTCTCAGCTGAGCAATAATGGGGTCACTGCATAATTACGGACAGGAGTTGTTATTTGTGCCTTCATGGTGACTGGGAAAAAAAAACAACAAGAAAAACAAAGAAAAAACAAAACCAACATAGAATCATAGAATTGTTTGAATGGGAAGGGACCATTAAAGGTCACCTAGTCCAACTCCCCTGGAATGAAAACCTACCCAAAGCCATAACCCATACTGAGCGCTTTAGGACTATCAGAGAAAGAAGGGATAAAGCTTTCCTATGGCAGCATCCATAGCAGGCAATGAAAAAGTACCTTGAGTTTGTCAGCACATCTGAGCACCAATTCACTA